TCACTTTGAGTCTGACTACGAAATGATTATGGAGTTTCATTAGTTGATTATATACGGTTGGAAAGCTACATGAGTCTATTTTCTAACTAACTAAACGGAAGTGGATTTCGAGTTTTCTACACAAAGATATGATTTTATTGTTAATACAGTGCAAACTATTGACGGCAACGCTAGGGGTAATTTTGAAAATTTTTTGCACTTTTTTTACAGTGAACTTGTGATACTCAACATTTTACATATGATATGAATATGATTGTTAAGACTTATATAACAATCCTAGTTTACCACTACTAGCAACTTGAGTTTAAACTTTTGAGGGTCACGTGGTTTAAGTCCAAAAAGTTGTTAGGCCAGTAGTTGGATTTGGATCATTACAAATGGTATCAGAGCCTGCATCAGTCTGATATGAGCTTTCATATTGCTTTGGTAAAATATGTGATGTGTGGCTTTGATGAGGACATTAAGGATTTGAGTTAATGAGATTGTGATACTCAACATCTCACATCTGATGTATATAGTTTAGGTCTAAAAAATTGCTGAGCCAGTAATTGGACTTGGTTCTTTACAGAACTAAGTTTTGAGATTTATATAGATAGAAAGTTTATTAAGTCTAGTTTCCAATGGCCTAACCCATCTTGATTTCGAGCTTCATAGCTTAAGATATGGCTATCTTAGTGGATGATATGCAAGCTGTCCAGATTTATAATTTAGGAGAGTTTGAATTATTTTGTGTAGTTTATGGTGATAAATAGATTTTACAAAGGTAGATGGTTGCTAATATGTTTAAGTGGTTTTTATTAGGCTTTTGATTATTTTGGGAGGAAGCAGGTTTATTAGAATGGAGGTAAGTATATCTTCATACACTTTACTTGTTTCAAAACTATCATATTTGTATATTTTTTGAAAGAATCAAATGTCTTATTTCATTATTTTAGTATATTGAAAATAGGATCAAGCATATGGTTATTTTCTATTTTGAGCTTAATAATATGATGAAAAATTATTTATAAATGATTTAATTAACTCATGCAATGGAAAATTGGATTTACAAATGATTTGAGTTATATATATGACGAATATTGTTCTATGAATGTTTTAGTTGATTTATGTGACGAAAATCAATTTATAAACGAAAGGAAATCTTTGATTATTTTTAAAGAATGTTTTAAGAGTTGTCAAATAATCCCTAAGAACTGGGTTAATTGACACCAAAACTAATTCTATATATGGTTTTGTTAATGGGATATAATAGTTAACACACAATCCTACTAATAGGATATAATTAGTCGATGCAGTCTTTATCATGAGATATAATAGTGACAGTAGCTAAGATGATGAAATTTATGAGTTTGAAAGATTGAATCTATAATTTGCTAAAATGATATTTCAAGAATTCTATATAATGATCAATGATTTATGAATTCACAATGTTATCCATTTTTGTATATAATGATTCTTTAACTATTTGAAGGCATGATTTATTGAAATGCCTTTGAATGATGTATATGTTATATTGAAAACAATGCTTGATCCAATAGGATATTTGTGGCTATACTTATTGAGTCGTGGTTTGCTCATTTTTTTATTATATTTTGCAGATGATTAAAGATAAGAGCCTTAAGATCATAGGAGTTAAGAGAATAATTTGAAAAGTTTGCCCTAGTGTCAAAACATTGTTAGCTATTTTGATACGCATATTATGTGTAATGGAGATTTACGTTTTTAAATGTTTATATATTTTATTGGAGACGTTAGTCTGATTTTAATCATTAATTGCCTGAATATGTTGGAACAAAATTATTATTATGACTTCAATTACCGACTATTATAAGTATGATAAAAGGAAAAGCTTCATATTACTTTGAGACCTAGTCTCAAGGTAATATAGTCGTGCCATGACTTGGTTTTGGGACGTGACATATAATGATATTAGAATCTATACCAGTCAAATGTAGGCTTCCATATTATTCTGATGAGATCTTAAAAAAGGCCGATGATGTAAGAAGAATAGAACCCATGTCTCTTTTCTGTGTTCTTTTAAAAATATTTTGTTGTGATGATCCAGCAAAAATGATAAGGATAGTCAAGGTACGATATAACTTGTTCGGATGATGAGAAGGGAACAAGTGGGGCAGTTTATATAGTGAGAGAAGGGCTGATTGGTTTGTTAATTAGGTGAGTAACGATTCAGATAATTCCTGTTTCACTGTCAACAAGCTGTGTCTTCACAAGAAACTTCCATTTTTAGTCCATCTAGCTGCTGGTGAATTCCTTTAGAGTGATGTCCAAGACACAGACTATTTTTTCCTAATGGAATCTAATTTTAACTTTAAATTCCTCATCTTAAAGTTCCAAAGTACCCCAAATTAATGAAGTTTAAAGATGACATGAGCCTGATGAAGACATATAAACAATGGTTTATGTTACAATCAATCAAGAATTGGTCCATTTCCATCATTAACTGCTCTTTCTCTGATCAGAAACTCTTAGAAAACCAACTGACTGATTCTAAATTTCTAATTAAGGATTGGGATGAACCATTTTTTTTCATTTTCAATCCTTTGGCCTTGAACACGAGGAAATATCTGAGGACATAAATGTTATTGAAGTCAGGTAATTAGTTTTTAAAACAAAGTTTTATGGTTCCAGTAGGACAAAAATCCACATTATTCTATACTTCAAACAGAAGGTTGGAAAAGGATTGATGAATCCATTTATCAGAAAAAGGGGGGTAATGTGGGCATGGGTGCTGGGTAGCCTTCAACCTCCTACTGTTTAATACTTACTAATCAAGCCAAAAGAGAATGTGCTTAAACCATCTGGTTAGCTGTCGGTTGTTCCTAACCGTGCATCTCCAAGTTCCTTAACAGCTTCTGATAGTTACCTTACTGCAACATACCCCGCACCACCTTTGTCACTAACTGGAACATGCTAGGAATCAGCATGGATGAGACCAAAGTAAAGTGTTTACAATGGTTGGTTTAAGTAGGAATCGCCTCTGCTTTTGCTTTGGCTTTTGCAGTCTATAATTATCCATAGAGTGCTACATATTGCATGGGAATGGTTCTGCGAGGCCTTTGAAAATTGGTTATTTTCTTTTGTTGGGTAAGAAACAGAAGAAAAATTAATAGATTTGTACCTTTTACCTTCTCTAAATCTAATCCTTCTAAATTTAGAGAAAAACATTAGTGAAGAAAAAATAATTTTCTTTTCTTTTTTTTTTATTCTTTCCTTATTTCTTTTCCTGACAAAGGTTATTCGATTAATTTTTTGTATTTAAAAGTTAGAATCGAACGAATTGAAAAATTGATTAATGTTAAGTTGCTTGTCAAGTAAAAATATTATGTTTGATTTATTTATTTCTTGATGTAAGGTCCAATTTTTCTTGTTTAGAAAGTGAAGAAAAATAATTTTACTTATCTTTATTAAAAATTTTATTGAAAATATTGTTGAAACTGTTGAAAAAAATACTTAAAATGGTAAAATTTATTGAACAGATCAAGATTAATTGATTTTGATTATTTTTCAAAATATAGTTCAATCTATTTCAGTTATTATTAATGAAAATTTAATTTACTCAATTTTCAAAATTTTACAATCCAATCAACCTAATATTCACCCTGAATGCTTGGTATCTTCAGCTGAAAGAGGATTATTATTTTTATGTGTATATGGGCACTTTTGTTCCTAAAATTGAGGCTAAACAGAGCAATTCCTTTAGAATTTGAATCAATCTCTTAGAATACAGAACTAGAAAATAATGAAATAGCTTTAAAACATGTATTGATGTCACTGTTTTTAAAGAAAAATTGATACAGATGAAATTTAGAGAATATTGATAAAGAAATGAGAGACCCTTTTCTATGTATCTTTTAGAACCAAATAAGAGTGTATTTATAGATATAAATGACTGCTCCCAACAAACACAATTGTTAGTTTTCAAAAATCCGACCAATATATTTTCAATAAATACTTATATTAATCATTAAAAATAAATATAATTTATTATTTAATTACCTTTATCTTTACGTGCAAGTGGCAAGCACCTTTATAATATATTAATTATGTAATTTTTTTTTGGAATAAATATTAATTATGTATTATTAATTTAATTAATTTCAAGATCATTTAAAGCTTGGAAAGCGCATCCATGACTATTTTGCACTTTAATCTACTTTAATCTAATTATTATAAACTTATTCTCTTCTTTATTTAAATAACTCTTTGGCCGAAAAAAGAAAGTTTTTGACTGGAGGGTAAATTGTTTACAATTATACTGCTCCTATCTTGGGCTAAAGGTTTAAGACTTTAGACTTTAGATTCCCAATTGAAAACTCAAAGTCAAAACTGATCTTGTTATGCAATTCTATCAAAATTTGGAATTAAATATCTTCTTCATCAAAGATAAACTGATCTTTTTATGTAATTCTCTCATCTCATTCCACTTCAAGACCAAGCCCATTTGAAGGATGATAGTGTGCTACAGAATTGTGTTGTTCCAAAGAATGTGCTTGCTCTTTGTAATAGTTGCCTTCCTCACCATGTTGGATTGGCTGAATTGCTGATTGAGGCTTTTGTCTCTCCATTGCTTAAGGCCTTATTATCATTTGGGTTATGTGTAGTGGTTGTAGGTGTGGTTATGTGGATTTGGGATGGTTAAGTGGACGAATATGCATCGGTTTATGAATGAAAATTCCAAGTTTTTTCTGCATTAGCAATACTATTCATAGCATGTTTTGACATGTAGGAAAATCTTCTTTATTAAGGTCTTTAATATGTTCTGATGGAAATATCTTAAACATGGTTAATTCGTCATGGATGTTATACTTCATCCGAAACGAACTGGTTTAGCTTGGATGGATATAATAATGATCCACCATAACCATATAATTATGATCACATGGATATAAATTGCTTCTCTTTTCATTGGAGCAACTTGAGCTATGTAGCCGCAAAACTTGGATAAGATTCAGGATGGAGTCTGGATGAAGTAGAAAGAATAGGACAATTGTATTTGTAGAGATCTGTTTATGTAGATTCTGTCACATAACAATAGTTCTTACGGTTGTAGATAGACTGATAATAACCTATACAAAAAGCCACACCAGTTCTTTTTCTGGTGTTGGTGCTGGAGTAATAGTAGAACCAAATACAGGCTTAAGCTATAGAGAGCGTAGAAACTATTCTCTTGGCATATGTAATAAGAATAGGAAATAAAAGAATAGAATGAATACCGTAAAATTGTAATAGTAGAAAAAAAAAAGAGGAAGGGATAGAGCAACAATCGGATTTCAACATTTAGGAAGATCAGCAGGCGGAGGTAGCAGCTTCTGTTTGCGGCCCTTTCCATCGTTGACAACCCATGCCATCTTCAAGCCCCAGCTAGTGTGTACTTCCAGATGGCAGTGCATAAACCAGACACCTATTCATGCACAATCAAAAGTTAATCAAAAGAAATAGGCAACTACATTTTGTTCGATTAATGGTGAAAGAATATTTATCTAAATCGATTATTTATCCACGTAAAATGATTTGCCAAGTTACCAGCCAAATTTGGGTGATTTTGAAAAATGTCTATTTTATGTTACAAGCTTTTCTTTTTGTTTTTTTCCCTTACAGTTCTAACAGGGTCAGGATTTGATCACAACCTTGCGTCTATCTAGTCTGATATATGCACTATTATCTTCCTACGCTGACCAAAATTTTGTAGTGTAATTTCATCGTCCATATGCGTATCTGATAAGTAAATTACATTTGAGTTGCCGTAATTATGTAACTCACCAGGATTGTCTGCAAGGAAACGAATGGCGACCCATCCACCAGATGGCACACCCACGGTGTTCCTCTCCGCGGGATCTACAAGATTGAACTTGGCAGGGTCCTTCTTGGGGTCAAAGTTGCCAACTCCTTGACCCAACACAAAGAAATTGAACCCATGAAGATGTAAAGGGTGGCTTTCTGCACCAAGGATGCTAGTATCCTGCATCACCAACTCCACGCTAGTGTTAAAAGGTAGCGCCACCACCTTGGTGCCACTGTCCAACATTATGTTTTTAGGTGGTGTGCCTGTGTAATTAAACTTGAATGGTGGGTTCGCTGGGAAATTGGTGGTGTATACTCCTTTCGATCGGTTAAAGGTGAGCCTGGAGAAGAGCAATATTTGGTTGCACAAATGTAACATTGTTTACTGCAGCAGCTGGCCTAGTGTTGTTGGGACCTTGGCAAGTTTGGTTTTGTGAGCATGGGAGTATCCCTAGTCCGACTGTGAAGAAGAAGCGCCTATCAACATTTTTTTGGAGCTTTAGCAGGGAATTTAGTTGTGGCGAGGCTACGGATTTTCTGGTTGAATTTCATAGCATAGGTGGAGTCATTAAACTGTGGAAGTTTTGCTTTAGAAGCGGGAGTTTCTTGTTGAGTTTGAGCAGAGGCAGATTTCTCATACTCTAGGAATTCCGATTGTCGTGGTATTGTCAAAAGTGGCAGGGCCAGTGGCATAAGGTCGGCTGACAGAGCAAAGTTGGCGCCGGAGGCCTTGGATTTGGCCTTGAGAAGGACATTAGTGGTCTGCCCTGGAGTGATAAGAACAATATCTGTTTTGAAAGGTTTGACATAGACTGCATCGGCTTCTACAACAGTGACGGTGTGGTTTGCAATTCTGAAAAAGAGCTCATCGTTGAGTGCAGCGTTGATCAGGCGCAGAAGGTACGTTTTACCTGGCTTCACCTTAAGCTTGAATGTTTCTGCATAAATTTAGTTTTCTTGCTATTAGTGTGTCCCTGAACTTGAACCTTCCGGGGGAAATTGACAAAATATTGGTTTGCTTTAGTGACATTGAATATAAGTAGTACCTTTGGCTGAGCAGTTGTAAGAGGGACCTGGTAGACCATTAATGGTGAAGACATCTGAGATATTTGGTGCCCCTCGGTTGCCATGGCCTGGTTGATATAGTTTCTGTGTCTGCTTTCCACCACTCGCCTGCAATTCGAGGCAAAACGCAAAATTAATTCAAGATTCAAAATTATTCTTCTTCCAATGCCTGATGTGAAAAGTTGTGTTAATTACCAAAAATGATAGGAACTTCTTTGAATGGTTGGGGAAATGGATAAGAGGCATGTCGTTTTGGGAGGATGACAATAGGTCCATAAAGAGTAGCTCTTAGCCAAGAGATGTGAGCATGCCAAAATAAGGTCCCTCTTTGGCCAGTGATGGTGAAGTTGTATACATAGGATTGTCCAGTCTGAATTGGACACTGAGTGATATAGGCCGGTCCATCAGCCCATCCAGTCCTCAGCTGTCGGATTCCATGCCTAGTTTCCAAGTGAAAAGCCAACATTTGATCAACTTTAAAATAAAATGCTTACCATTAATAAAAAAGAGAAAGCATTGGGAAGCCAGATTTCATACCAGTGAAGAGTGATATTGTATTGAACATGGTTAACCACCTTGATGAGAAGGCGATCACCTTCCCTTGCTATTATTCGAGGACCTGGAAACTGGCCATTGACGGTCACAATGCTCTTTGTTTGGCACAACCTTGTCACATTTTGCGTCCTAATCTGTACAAGATTAACAAGAAAAAGACAGAAAAAGGGGTGGAAATGTTAGCCTAAGCTATAGCATACCTAAAAATGCACTAAAAGAGCATAAGAAATGGGAAATTAAAACTTACGTCAAACTTGTAGCGCCTGGTAATGCCTGCATGCTTTGCAAGTGCCAAACCAGGTAGTAACGAGACAGCACATAACGCTAGGAGAAAAACCCTGATAAAGGCTGATGATGTAAGAAGAACAGAACCCATGTCTCTTTTCTGTTTTCTTTTAGTAATATTTTGTTGCGATGATCTGTCAAAAATGATAAGGATAGTCAAGGTGGGATACAACTTGTTTGGATGATGAGAAAAGGAACAAGTGAGGCAGTTTATATAGTGGGAGAAGGACTGATTGGTTTGTTAATTAGGTAACTAAAGATTCAGATAATCCCTGTTTCCACTGTCGACAAGCTTTGTCTTCAGCAGAAACTTGCGTATTTTGTCCGAGTAGCTGCTGGTGAATCCCTTTAGAGTGATGTCGAAGACACAGTCTATTTTTTCATAACGGAAATCTAATTTTAACTTTAATTCCTCATCTTAAAATTCCAAAGTACCCCATGAGCTTGATGAACACATGTAAACAATGGTTAAGGTTACAGTCAATCAAGAATTGGTCCATTTCGTTCATTAGCTGCTCTTTCTCCTATCAGAAAATCTTTGAAAACCCATTGAATGATTCCAAATTTCTCATTAAGGATTGAAATGAACCATTTTTATTCATTTTCAATTCTTTGTTCTTGGACATGAGGAATTATCTGAGGTTACAAATGTCATTGAAGTGGGGTAATAATTAGTTTTTAAAAACCTTATATGAACCAAAATGGTTTGAGTAGGACAAAAATCCACATTATTTTATAGTTAAAAAAAGGGTGGAAAGGGATTGATGAATCCATTTATCAGAAAAAGGGGGGTAATGCGGGAATGGGTGCTGGGTAGCCTTCGACCTCCTACCCTTTGATACTTGCTAATCAAGCCATAAGAGAATGTATTTAAACCTTCTGGTTAGCTGTCGGTTGTTCCTAACTGAACATCTCCAAGTTCCCTAACAGCTTCTGATAGTTACCCTACTGCAACATATCTTGCACCACCCTTAACTCAATAGATCCAAACCTAACTCTTGTTTCGGTCTTGCCTTCACTAACTGGATCATGTTAAGGAATCAGCATGGATGAGACCATATGGTTGATTTAGCAGATAAAATTGGTATCAAATCCATCTCTAAATGACTAATTTTAGATATAAAACTTGTTCTTATGGAAAAAATATGAATTTATGACAATAAATTTTACTCATGTTTTGTCCAACATTCAAACATTGTCTCCTACCAGATTTTTCAATATACTGTTCACAACTGTAATAGGTGTAGCAACACAGCCCTGAGTCCTGGGCCGTGGTTCCCCCTTATCAGCCAATGGAAACACTAAAGACAAGAAAACTAAAAATGTGATATGCTGGATGTGACATATTCACCACAGGTTTTTATCCCAAAAAAGAAAAAAAAAATTTGGTGATTGTCTTTCGTTTGGAAAGAGAGAAAGAAGAAAATGAAATAGATTCATGCCTTTTACTTTTCTCTAAAATTAATTCTTTTAAATTGAGAAAATAATTGTCTAAAATATATTGAATTCCATTATTTCAATTTGATTTTTTTGATTTTGATATTAATTGATTAATAACAATAATGTTTTTTGATTATTTCGCTGAATATTTAATATTTAAAATTTATAATTGAATAGATTATAAAATCGATCAAATATTATATTATGCAGAAATGTTATGTTATTCATTAGTTGATATAGGATTGAATTTATTTTCAGAGATGGAGCTAGTCAACTTTAATCGGAGAGTCAAAGATGAAGATAAATAAAGATTAAAAATTTTTAAAATTAATATGTTCAATTTAATCAATAATTAAAAAATTCATAATAGATAATATTTTTATTTAATATGTATATAAAAAAGAACAAGAAAAGAAAACTTGAAAACAATGAGGATGATCAGATACTTCTTAAAAATGAATTAACCTGACTCACGTTTGAGATAAGCATTGAGCCTTGGTGGCTCAAGTGTAGAAGAATCATTTAGACGATTTATATATACTTTTTAAAAATTTGTAATAGACAATAATTTTTGATTTATTTCTATTAAAGAATTTATCAATTATTTTCAATTTACTCATACTTTAATTAAACTTAAAAAAAATATAGTCAATATCTAATTTCTTATTTTATTTCAATTTAAACTTAATATACTAAATATAAAACTATAATACATAAAATATAAATGGTTAAATAAGATATATAAGATTGCATACAATGGTTAAATATATAGATAGAAAGAAAAAGATAAAAAAATGTGTAAAATATTCTTATTTTTTTGAGTTTTGATCAAAATTACATAGAGGTTTAGTAGTTTTGAAATAGATATTCCTTCCCAATGGTACAAACACTGTTAATAGAAATTATGAAAGACTAAAATGTCTTTTTTTTTTTATTAATTTAAAAAATTATTAATATATTTTTTAAAAAATAAAAAAATAGGAAGTATCGACCAATGCTCCCTAGCTCACCAAGAAAGGGGAGCACCGACCAGATGGGGAGCTTTTTAATTAAAATAGAAAAAGAAAAAGAAAGGGAGAGAAAGAAATGCGGAGAAACTTAAGAATTAAAGTAAAATTAACTAGAGCTTATGGAATTATTTATTAATTTTTATTTATATTAATTATTAAATAAAAATTATTTTAAGAGGATTATTAAAAATATATAATAAATAAAAAATTTAAAAATTTTTTAGGAGCCACAACCCTTAAAAATATATTACTCTCGAGAGTCATTAAAAAAATCATATAATAAATAAAAATTTGACATAATATACAAAAGAACCCGTAAACTATTTAAAAAAATTCAAATAAACTTTTAAACTTTTACTGTGTTCATCCAATCTTTATATTTTATTTTAAATCAAATAACTTGTACTTTTTAATTTGAGTCAAATAAACCCTTATGATTAATAATAAACTTAATCAAAATGTCATTTGTTATTCTGTGTCATGTAACATTGATGTAATATGTTAAAATATCATAACTGATTATAATGTAACATATTGACGTATCATAATTCATAATGATAGGACATGCTAATATGATTATGTAGTCATATTTACCCTTTACATCAATGCTATTTCAGTGTCATGTGATTATAAAATGACAAGTAGCATTTTTACTAATAACAAATTAGTCAATCATTAATTATAAGAGCTTATTTAACTCAAAATAAAAGTATAGAAATTTGATTGAAAGCAATAAAAAAATAAAAACTTATTTGAATATTCTTTAATAGTTTTGAGAGCTTATCTGCCCCTATTTATTTTGATTAGATTATAAACTTAAATAGTTTTACTTATTTTTTTAGAAAATGTAATCAAAGATTATTGGAAAAAATATTTGAAAAAATAATAAAATCTATTCAACTTATGGATTCAACCATTATCGATTTTAGTATATAATTCGATTAGTTTTTAAATATTTTTAAGTTTCTTATTATTTATGAGAATTCGATTAAATCATATCTTCCGTTAAATACATACTTTCAATCATTAGTCAATCGTTAATATTTTTATTTGTTTGATAGTATGATAATATTTAAAAAATAATTTTATCATTTATTAATTTTAAAAATTACTATCATAATTTTTTTTTTACAAAAAAAAAATTTAACACCCTTTTTTTGGGCTTGAGGAGCACCTATCTTGTGCTTCCTTCCCTTAGGACACCTATAGTAGTGTGGTTAGTCAATGAATGGAAGCATCATCGATCATCACGTTGTTTGAAGAAAAAAGTAATTATTTTATTATTTTTATTAATAATATTTATATTTTTAAAATAAAATATTTATTTTAAAAATTAATAAATTTATTTAAAATCATGACAAAAAGTTAGTACGAAGATATTTTACCCAAATTTTAAATGGTTGTCACCTTTTGTTCCTCCAGAATTTGGACCATCCGTAGTGGGCTGTTCTGTGCATTTACAACATGAATGAGTGTTGTGGCCCAAAATAGAAAGTTTGGACTTTTGAGTGCTGATTGATTACAATTAACTGCTACTATCTTGGGCTAGAGGGTTTATCCCTTAGACTTTAGATTCCCAATAGAGAATTTAAAGTCAAAACTGTTATTTTTATGTAATTCTACCAAACTTTGTAATTAAATAGTGTCAAAGTTTCAAAGACAAATGCCATTGTTTGTTGTATAATAAAAAATCAAATTTTGTATAATAAAATATCAAAATAAACTATATTTATTGTCAATAATTATCTTAATTTATTTACAAATTCTATTATTATGTTTATTGATAAATTTATGAAAAATTAGCTGTACTCTTTGTAATAACACAAATTATATTGTGAAAAAATGAAGAAAAAAAATGAAAGTAAAACTATTAAATTAATGAAATTGGAGTTCATAAACACTGCAACCAAATGGTCCTTCACCTAGATGATAATTCTCTACCCACCAAATAAAAATAAAAATAAAAATTATGCAAGGTGTTAGTTTGGGGCCTGTTCCCTAATTGCCCACACCGAATCTCTGCCTAGCCAAATCACACCGCATCTGAGCCAACCCGATCCTTGACTTCTCAAGATCAAATTCCATCCACACATTTTGTTGATGGTGATGACCAATCACGTAAGCTTCCACGCCCAGGAGGTCGGAGTTCCCGAAACTAAAGCACCACACCGAATCATTCCCCCTTACTTCACCCGGGACCTGATATAAAACCCGATCACCCGATACCACCATTTCCGCCCCGGTAAAAACCAAACTCACGGAGGGTAAATTTGGCAGATTATTTTGACCAAGTGGGACCCGGTAGCATAAATCCATTGCCCCTTGAAAGACAAAATTCGGGTCCCCTAAAACCCTTAAAACCCCACCGGTTTGGTTCAAAAACTCTGCTCGTAAAACATTATAAACCGGTCCGAGTAAGAAAGTGAATTGGGTACCCGAGTCAACCATGGTTTGACCTGCCCCGGTATGATCCGGAACTAGAACCGATTTCGGAATGGGTAATAACTTACCCGAAACTTTGATCCCTTCAAGTTGAACCGTATAAGCGACCCGATCAAAATACGGCAACGGTTCGGAGATTTGGATTAACGGCGTGTAGTTTAACGGCGTAAGCCACGTGACATTGGAGTCACCAAGTAAAAGGAGGCCCAAGAAATCGGAACCCGAGATGCAATACGAGAATTTTGGGAACCCCATTTGGGAGACAAAAGAGAGGGACCCGCGGTTCATGCCCATTAAACCGGTGGTTTTGGAGTCTTCGGCCGAGTTGGAACTGAAAATGGAGTCCATGCACCCGAAAACCAGACCCGAGATGTTGTCGAACGACCCGAGATGGAAAATATCGGACGCGAGATTTCCTTCGGAGGATGAAGCGTCCGCGTAGGAAAGAGTTGCGTGGCAAAGGTTGTCGGAGTCGCATGAAGCTGGGATTGGGAAATCTTGGGTTCGGTTTATGCATGTCGGAGAAGAACAAGGGATTGTTTTGTACGAGGAAGATTGAATCGGGTTGAATTTTTTCGGGTCGGGCTGGTTGTTTTGGGTTGTTTGGTTGCAATGGAGCCAAGAGAGCTCGCTTCCAGTGTCAAGAACCATGGAGACATTCTGGGGTGGAGTGCCTACTGTTAAAGAGACAATGAGGCTAACGTTATGGTAAAACTGAAGCTTGTTCGGAGATCTTAGGATTTGGGTTTTAAGCGGAAAAATGAGAGTTTTTGGTGGAGAAGAGAAAGAGAAATGAACCTGAATAAGCAAAAACAAGAAAACTTGGAGATATAATGAAGACAAAGAGAGGATTTTGAGAAATGGTTTTGAGTTAGAATTGAAGATAACGTAAGATTTCATGGTGTTCTTCTGTCAGGTTCTTTTGGCTAGTAGTTTTTCTCTTCAACTGTCAAACATGGAACAGTTAGGTAAAGGTTGGAGTTGGAAAGTTGAATGGAAGTGAAGTTATAAAGATCTTTGTTTTTTTGGTGACAAAGAAGCTGCCTTTTTGGGGGGAGATAAGAGTAAGGAATCTGTTGAGTGCACTGAAATATTTGGAACCCTGGTCTGATTTAAGAAGCTTCTTTTATTTTATATGTCAGCTGCTTCAGAAAAAAAACTCTTGAGGCTGAGATCTATAGTACAGAAGAACTAGAGACTTCATGACGATGATGGAGCTTAAACGGTGCCGTTTGGAATGTTTGGGACCAGACAGGACATGACATTCCTGTTTTGTTTGTTCACGTGTCAGCGCAGAACTAGGCCTGGCCATAACTTCCCAGTCTAGTTTGGTGTTTGTAGTTTTTTTTTTAACAGTGATCTTTTTCCAATATTTGATCAAGACTCAACATCCACTTACTAGCTCAGATATTTCTGGGGAAGAAAAGATTCCCAATCTACTTGTCTATTACTTGTTCTCATTCAGTCATTTGATTCTTTCAACTCTTAGATCACAAGGCAAAACATACCTTTTCTTGAATCGTGCAATCTGGTTAAGGAACCTGGTTTCTTGTCTTCTGAATTAGCTTATCTTTTGGTTCATTCATTCATTCCTTTCTTTTCTTACTCTTGAATTGATGCTATTCGTCATTGCTATATATGGTTGACAGCTGACGCTGCTTTTTCTTTCATATAGAGAAGAAATGTTAGTAGTGGAACTTTTCTGGTATGCATTCATGGTCTGAATAGAAAACCAGTACAATTTTTGCTAATAAATTGGGACCTACATCTTATCAATACCATAGATCTTATTGCAATGATTTTGTGGCTTCTGCTTCACTGCAGGGTTAGGCTGTTCTTCTTCAGTAGGTGATAGACTATTCACTGATATAAATACTGCACTCCTAAGTAAAAGGGTAGGTGTGAATTTTACTTATATTCATTCAATAGCTGATGACTATATGATAGGAAAATGATGATGATTGGGGTGAAGATATAATGTTTGGGTTTCTTAGAATTGAAAAGGAGATCCTCTCAATGTGAAATCTCTGACACCTGAAATGCATTGTTGCTAAGGGGGGCTATGAATTCTTGTGTTACTGTCCAATTTTCTTAACAATTCGTGGAATGTGTAAAGATATGACAAACCCCATTAAATACTGACAGAGACATATAACCCAAAACGAACTTCTTGACTATCAGACCAAGGAACATGAATCCTGTTAGGAAATTTTAGAGAAAAAAAACTTTTAAGTAATCTGTAAGAAAAATCAAACGATGGACATTCTCATAGTATGGATGCTGTTAATGCAATGCAACGTAATGGATTGCAGTCCAAACCGAAAAAAGATGGATAAATTATTTGACATTAAGGTGTGGGATCGTACTAGATTCTTCAAATCCAAGTTCAGCTTGGTGCACTCGGTTAAAAACATAGCTATCAGGTAGTTGCACATGCCTTGCTGCATTGTTTACAAGCAGGGAATCGTGGGTTGGGGTCCGGTTCTGGTTATGGTAACCCATTCCCGCGTTGGTTTTGGTGCTTAAAGTGTCAACTTTATCTCTGTGACGTTTCTGTGGAGGAAAAAAGAGAACAGTTGTGTTCCATTGACGGGATATCAAAATTCAATCCGGTACTGTATGGTGTAGCTTGTCCAGGATTTCAGAACTCATGGTCTTGTCAACATAAAGGACATTGAAAATGTTCCCCACCATTAAGCAAGAAAAAGTAGATCTTAAAAGCAGCTTAGGGATTTGGTATATTTTAGATTCTTAAACAACTTAGCTACTTTAATTGATGTTCTCATGCTTCAGATGATGCTTTTAATAGGTTCTTTTGGCTGAATTAGATGATTGTATTGTGGATTCGTCTCTTCAGTTCTTCTTTAACTTCTCATTTAGCAAAAATAATGTAATATTTCTTATATAATATGCTGGTCTGAATGATGATCCATCAGTTTCTGTTGACAGGATATTTACTGATATAACAGGCATTTGAAGCCAGAATTTTATGATATATATGAAAACTCCGTTGGCAAAGTCCTGGCAAGGACTCAATTGCCGGAGAAGGGCTCCCGAAAAGGAAGAATTGGTACTTGGAAGACCTGGAAAGGACCCAAATAACCAAAGTTGCTACTTGTGTTGTGATCCATGAATGATTAATTAAAGATTCTGAACAAAACATAAGAAATAATATACATACTTCCTGTCTTAAAGACCTAACTGATTCATATCTGATGCTACGAGCTCATCGCGCTGTATGTGGTTGTCACCATGGATGGGAATTTACTCGTGATATACCTCGATCATCTAAACAAACCAGGAACGAGAAATGCCAGAATTGGGAACCCCTTTGATCAATCGAGTTGGCCAGCTATTCTTGAAATAGCAGAATATGTGCCAAAACAAGCAATCACCAATCCTAGAACAGCAATGCAAATGCAGACTGCTTTCTGAATAGGGAACACAAGAAAAGATTCATGTTAGGGGTCTGTTTGGTCGCAATAAAAAAGTTGGATAAGGGAAGGATTCTTACTTGTAACTTCGTTAAGCTAGCACGAAGTATGCTGAGGTAACAGGCACATGGGAAGATAATACACTGTCATGAAATATTGAAACAGGAGAAATTGGTTCAAATTACATTTATTAAATGCCTCTGAAGAGCAAATATCAGACCTTTCCAAAGAGGGAACTTACAATTAGCATTGCAAGCAAAGATCCTACCAATGCCATCACAAAAGCTGCAGTAGAGAAAAAAAAAGTAATAGCTTTATACCTTATAAAGCATATTCTAAACCAGACAAATGATTAGAACCATAATGTAAATGTTATTATTTACCAAAGAATGGAACTGTCATTGCAACAACTACAGTTGAAATCACTAAAGCTGTTCTGATGATTATAGAAACTCCATATGATCTGAACCGTGTCATCGAAGGTACAAGTTCTTCGACACTCAATGCAATGGGAGTGAGTGTCAAGGCATACTTTGATACTGTGATAATAACCTGAAACCAATACACAAGTCAATTTGTATGAGCAATGTTGATTGTTTGAATCATAAGTGCTTATAATAGATTGATCTTGGCCTGTTAAAAAAGGATGTATAGGAAGCTGAATGGTGGTGTTTCAACATACCACTGTCCAAACGGCAATTTTAGAAGCTGTAAATTTTATGGGCATGTTTAAAGTAAACTGAGACTCAACTGAGTCACCAAATATCAGAAAGCCAGAGATTGCTGCCCCTGTGCACACGAACCAACAAAATATAAAGCTGGAACACAGGAAACAGAAGTCAACAAAGCTGATTATTCCCAGAGGGAGAGGAATAGGGATACTTATAGGAAGGTGAAACTTTATGTGTTACCTGGCTACAAGGACAAGTGGGAAAAGTGAGGGCTCTTTCATGGAAGAATATATATTTGGAAAAACTGAATGGCCAGCGTAGCAGAAACTGTATATACCAACTGAAATGGGAAGGTTTGCGAGGTTAAGAGCAGTCCCGCTTCCATGAAACCCGACTTGATCAACTGCCCCAACCCATAACAAGCAAAGTACCACTAAAATTGAAGCTCCTACTCCACCAACTGAACATTTAGATAAGGTTAAGATCAGTAGTCATAGCTTAACAAGTGGAACTATGAAACATGAAATTTGGGGGATGTGGTATATTGATCGTATGAGAAACCTGAAAGGTATGACAGCAAACTAAGGTCTCGGAGCCAAACCGTTGGGAGAACGATCAGAGCTCCTACGATCGAAAATACTTGATGAGCGTCAAGATATATTCCAGCAAAATCTATGCTGGCGTTTGGGAAAATCGTTGACAGGTTATCACTCATCATTATTACGTACTCCACGCACGCAGCCTACAGATTCAGAGATGTTCACTTTTTAGTGCAGAACATGAGACAAGGCAGAAAAAATGAATAGAGAACTGTGAGAGACAAACAACCGAAGAAATCGCTGCACTTACATATAATTCTGCGTACAAGATTACCTGCATTTCACAGATTAAAACCAAAGTGTTAGTCCTTTTAAACAAATGTGAAGTTCAACCAGAAGCATTGGACAATTTTGTTCTTATAATAAACTTACAGATACCATTAGTCGACCAGCTATCCCGAAAGCAGCCTGTCCAATATCAGGATAAGTTTGTAGGCCAGGAGAGCTTTCTAAACATCTCTTTAACAAAATCCCAGTATAACAGGCAATGATACCAAATATTATGAGTAGTGAGAGGCTCAACCACCCACCTTCTTTGACTGCATAAGGAGTTGTAAGGAGTCCTATGCCGCACAGAACATTGATTCCTACATAAAGAAAAAGATAGATTGAAAATCATGGAGCATGACACAGTTAGCCAAACATTTCAAGAAATTTCAAGTATTGTTGACAAGACTGTCATAAATTATGCTCAGCAAAGAACAATGCGTCTGCATACAAGCAGAATCCCAAAGTTGTTTTAAACATGCACATGCATCAACTAAAAGATCCCGAAGCATCTTCTTTCTATAATTCCAGTGATAAAAGATATAAAGGATAATCAGAAAAACATTTAAAGCACAATGAGAAGCCTCTATAAAGTCAAGGGCTCGTGGATTCAATAGCATGCATTGACAGTGACAGCACACAAATTCTACACTGATTGCTAGGCAATAAATGAAGTCCTGTGCTATTGCAGGGAGGGGTGGGGTCACAATTAGGGTATGACTGTTTTCAGATTTCCAATAGAATTAAATTTTAATGTTCCATAAATTCCTGGGAATCGAAAGGGAGCTTTTAACCACACAACGGTCTTTTCTCTGTTTGAGCATACTAAAACTGAAGGTGATTAAATATCAAGATTGAAGATTGCATGGTTCATTACCATTGATTAGTGATTGGGTAAATGAACACTGCCTCTGTGATGGTGTTGATTCATTAACGAATATTCTTTGCTGCGAAGCTAGGAGAGTAGAGGTGGGCACTTCTTCATCAAAACATCTTTCAGCAATGAGTGGTTTACTGTAGGAGGACTCATCATCATTACTTTGATGTTTGCGAATTGAGGAACTGCCTCTTAATCCTGTTGCAGTAGTTCCGCTTAAGAAACTAATGGATGGAGGTGTAACGCCTTTGAGCATATCCATTGATTCCCTGTATGAATTGAACAAAGGCATGATTCTGCTTGTATAGTTTTGTTTCTTAATCCAAATTCTTGACAAAGTTTATCTACTGCACCTACGTTTGATCTTTTATACAACATTAGACAACTATTATCTAGGCTATGAAAAGCGCATAAAAAGTCTAAATTCA